AAGTGTGTCTCAGTAGACTGATGTCTGATTCAAATTATGCTTTTTACACACACACACACACACACACACACACACACAGACAGACACACAGACACACAGACACATTGCCTGCTTAAAACAAGATCTCTTTTAGCTGTGGGGAAAGACAACACAAAGACACAGCAGTTTGTCTTTGCAAAGGGAATGATACTTCTAAAGAAAACTAGAAGTCCACCTATTAAGCTTGCAAGCCCAGGCACCCCTCCTTCTGTGGCTAAAACACATAGTTTGAGGACTAGGCATGTGTGTAATCTCTGTTGGCGCTGCAGTCAGATCTCAAAGGAAGCATAGGAGGGACTGCCGGCTGTGCATTAGAACAGAATTGTGTAAATGGGGAACAAAGAATCATGATTACACTTTGGCAACAGCATAACTCAGCCAAAGATTAATTTCTTTTAGAAGAGGCTTTCAATATAAACTGTTAAAAACTCTGTAGAGATTTTCTGCATATGATCATTCATATCTGCATCTGCATGGAAAATAATCCTGTTGCGCCATTGAGCAATTGGTATATATGAATGAATTTATATAAAGGAATAGAGGCTAAATGGGAACTGCTATTTATATTTTTTAAGAAACCTATGATAAAATCAAACTGGTACACTCCTATAGTTCTCCTGATAAAATTATTGCAACTTTTTATAATGTTCCCAGTCTGTTTTGCCTTTTGATGCTTTCAGTTGCCTTCTTTCTATCTATCTAGGGAGGAAGCCTGAAGCATTCCACGTGGTGAACCAAAACTCCCATTAGCTCCAATCTGACATATTCTTGGGGTGAAAGGCTTGTCATCTATGTTCCAAGAAGACTTCTAAACAATGTCTCAAAATCTTACTGATTTACTCTTTCCAGATGTTTTTCTGTATACAAAAAGCTCCTGGAATGAAATATTTTCTCAAAACCAAACAAATTGTTCATTTGGTGAAACCTACAGTACCTACCTACCTACCTACCTTTCTCCAAGGATGTCGACAAGTCTTTGGGTTGAAGTCCCAAGTCTGAGTCCCTATTAAAAACAAGCTCTTTTCCACAGAAAAAAGGAGGGGTGGGTGGGTTCTGAGTTGTGAGTCCAGTCTGAGCCACAGGAAACCCTTCCCCCTGAAGTCAAGTTAAGAGTTGATTTAAGTCTTACTTGACAGTCCTGCGGCTTGAGTCCCTATCCCTGCCTTTCTCCCAATGGAGCTCATATTAATTAAGAGCATTTTGGTTCTTTTATTTGTGTAATAGATTTCTGTGAAGCCTTTCTAGCTTTCATATGTTTCATGTGCTGGAATAAAATTTAGCCACATATTGTGATTATGCGTTCATGAATAATTTTTAAAAAAATCCTTTGCTATTTTTAAAATATGTATGTATGTGTGTGTGTGTGTGTGTGTGTGTGTGTGTGTGTGTGTGTGTGTGTGTGTTGTGCTGTCAAGTCGGAACTGACTTATAGCGACCCTAAAAGAACTTTCAAGGTGAGATATTTAAGGAGTGGTTTTGCCAATATCCATGGCCAAGTAGGGATTTGAACCCTGTTTTCCAGAGCCCTAGTCTGTCACTCTGTCCATTATACCACACTGGGAATCATTTAAAAATGTGCACCCTGCGATTCCAACATCTGACTTTCAAGGTAGTTTGCAAATAAATATAGCCTGCCATCAAAGATCTGCCTGGCACCCTCGCTGGGTGTTTTTAAGAGGCAATTAAAGACTTGGCTCTTTAGGCAGGCCTTCCCTCCTGTTAATACTTTACTTTTACTTTTTACTTAATCTTTTGTTTTATATTATCCATCTTGATTAATATTAATATTGTCAATGTAAAACATTGTTTTAATTGTTTTTATGAATAATTAATTGTGAGCCGCCCTGAGTAGACATACTGTATGTCTAGAAGGGTGGGATAAAAATCTAATAAATAAATAAATAAATAAAACAAGCCAAAGACTGGACTTACGTAGGATGGACTAGTTTTCTGGTTGGCAAGAGACTACGTGAAAGGAGTTCAGCAAAACTCCTTGTGCAGACAGTGAAGCAAAAAGTCTCTGTCAGCACATTGATGAGGACGAGCAACTGCTGATGGGACAAGAAAGACCCATGTATATGTAACTGGTGATACAAATAGAAGGAGGACATAGTCCTTGAGGAAGTGATAAAAAAAACTTTGTATGAGGGGTAAGTGTTGCATAAGAGCTCCGTATAATCCAAGTCACAAGATGTGTTGCTGACCTTTTGTGAGTGAATTGATTAGGACACACACACATTGTTATGTTGAACTTTCTAGATCGGTTTGCTGGCACTTCTGGCTTGATTTGCTAAAATCATTCCATTGTATGGACATACACAGGATTTCAGGAGGGCACAGGGTGCGGCCTCTGTTCCTGTATATTGGCTTCATTGAAAATAGAATAAAAAGAACATCTACAGGTAGCTACTTCTCCGTACAAGCTGTCTGACACCATTCTGTCACGTTCAGACAAAATGACATGTAGATACTGATCCAATTACCTCGAGAGGTATGTAGTGAGCACCCCAATGTTGGAGGCATTTCAAGAGAAATTCAGACGACCACCTGTCAGATATCCTTTGATCTGTATTCCTGCACTGAGCATGGGGTTGGACTTGATGGCCTTATAGGCCCTTTCCCACGTCATGATTCTATGAAGTAAGACATTCTGAATCAGTTGATTCTGGGATGGTTCACCACTTCCATTAGTTAAGCATTCACCTCGCTGACCAGAAAATACAGAGGTCTTACTTCCACCTCAGAGGAACTGTCTGTCTGTCCATCCCCCTTTATCAAACGGGCCAAATGTGAGCTCCTGTTGCTCCCTGGGGATTTCTTTTCTTACCTCCAAAGCTGCCATCCTCCAACTGACTGTACACTACAGCTTCACACATCCATAGCCAGTGTGGTGAGGGCTGAAGGCCAAAATAGCTCAAGGCCAGCAAGATTGGGTCAGGCCACCTTATACTTCCCTGCAAGGGAAGCTGTGTGTCAGCAGATCTATTTTGCTACTAGAAAGCTTAATGGGAATTTTTTGTTGAATAATACAGAGTTGCTTGCTTTCTGTGGTCTGGGTTCTGCTGCCCTCAGCTCTATGGTCTGTTTCATCCTTAAGCTGATGTGTGTCAGGGCATACAACACATGGGTGGATTTCTTGGAAATGTTTCTTCATGTCCCCTTTGAATTGCCCAGGCTGTGATCAGGATTCTTCCATACATTTTAATAACACTTTAAAGACGCTATGCTCATAGTGTTGGAGGTCTGGAAAGGAGCACTTAAAAAAAATTGTTAGCTGCATAATAATAAATGAAAACTTGGTTCTGTTTTTTGAAAACAACACATCTCTCTCTCTCTTAATTAGAAAAGGAGATTAAAGAGAATAGAGTTATGGCGTGACATTCTAAATTTTAGAAAGCCTTACTGCCAGGTTTGAGATCCTGAGACCATAAAAATCTGTGCCACTAGTAATATGAATTACAGGTAGTGAATTCTTGTGAGGGTTTACCTACATGTTATAATTTAAAATAGTTTGAAAAGAAATCAAGGCTTTCTCTTTGAGAACCAAATGCAAGTGCAGTTCACCACACACACCCCAGCCCCCATCTGGAAGAGGACCACAACAGAGATGTAGGAGCAGTTTAACTCTTCTCTACTTACTGCAGTCCTGGAATCACCACCACCACCCCTTTAGTCAAAAAGTTGCATTTGGTACTAAATTACTAATACTTGTCATGCAGGATATGCATTTATTTTTTCAGGATTGCACTGGAGAAAGTAAAAAAGTTATACTTCTGCTCCCTGTGTGCTCTAATCCTGATCTAGGTAGGCAGTAGTGCTCATCGGGTAGGGACATTTCCTCTTGATCTGGAATTAAAGACACCTTCCAGTGTGGCGTTTAAAGCACGGTCTAATTATCCTTTGTGCACTCCTGAAAGTTGCTCTTTAAGAGATGCAGTATCTATCTATGCCAAGTTCTTTAGTTGTGTGTGTGTGTGTTCTGCGCTGTCAAGTTTGAACCAACTTATAGCATATATCTCCATGCAAAGGAAGAGCTACACCTATTGAATTTCTTCTAATTCAGCATAGAAAACCTTTCTAACTCAGTTTTAGGGCATGTTGGTAAAAAAATCCCCCAAACTAGCCACTTACTTTATGCAAAACAAGGCTATTCAAGCAGATGTCTGATCCTGCAAACTTCTCTCCAAACCAAACTATTCCCGTCCCACTCCCAGTATTTCATAAGATCTTGATGACATTAGATCAAACAAGTATTTGAGAAAGCTCAGGATAATCTGTGGAATTGCTTACACGAAACGATTTTTAGCTTGTAGCAGCATGATATTTTCATCAGTCCATGCCAACGATCATGGTTTGTGCCAGTTGTTCTGTATGATGTCATTCACTGCTCCCTGCCTTGAGCAAAGCAGAGCCTGTTTAGCTGCTTTAAGGTACTTAAATGTAGCTGCATGATTTTGTATGATTGGACTTTGATTAATTTTTTTAAAAAAAAGATAATGTTGCTTTTTCCAAAGACTGGGGGATACACACAGAAGAGGTGAAAAGAGGTAAGTCATTGTAGAACAAAACCAGCTGACCCAGTGGCACAGTTGTTTCAAAATGTGGACCTTTCTTTGACACGCAAACGGAATCTCCTTTATTATTCTCCCACATATGCAAACTTCATTTGATAAACACAAAAACACATACATTATACAGACATACATTATCTTATATGCAGATGATTAAAATCCAGAGGACGCTAATAACTCCTCTACTCCACTCTAAATGTCATTGTAAATATTGGATTATGTTTGAATAATTGGGGGCGGAGTTAACATTAATTGCTAGCTTTCAACATTTTTATCAAGTTTTAAACTTTTATCAAGTTGATTGAGTGCCAAAGCAAAACACTATGTGGGCAACGAGAGGGGAGCCAAGGGAAAGAGTCCAGGTGTCTGGAATCCAAAGTTAAGACTTACCTGTGACGTGTGTAGGCAGACAACAGCCAGGAGGCAGGGATGGCACCTTGGAGCACCACTCAAATCTCCAAAACCGAATCCTCAAGTCTCTTAGTTCAGTCAGTGGCTCTGACAACCTCCTCTTTCTCCTCGGGCTTCTGTTTGGTTACTAATCCTTACTACACAGGAAAAGGAGAGTTGGATTTCATTTAACCCCTTCTGCCACAAAAGTTCCACTACAGCTTTCCTGTACTGCTATCAAAAGATCCATGTACAGAAAGAAGGGCCAGGTTTCGAATGATTTCCACCTCTTTCACTTGAGTGACTTCTTTAAAAAAAAAAAAGTATGCTGTGTAGTTGCACAAGCTGCTGACAGGGTGGAGCATTTCTCAACTAAAGTTTTATTTTAGCCACAGGCAGTACATCAAAAGACAAGTAAGCAGACTGAACAGTCGATAATTGCTGCCATTGAATCTTTTTCTTATTAAACTCCCCGAGTCTAAATAACCAGACTTTAAAATCACATTTCCTTTGCATCCAAAAAACAAGCCCACACTGAAGTCCACTCTTGAACTCTCGCCTCCTGCTCTTTGATGTTGGGAATGTAAACAGGACCAAAACCTGTCCGGGGAGAGGCTAGATCCATCTGTGCAGTGGGGTGGTTCAAAACCTAGGGCTGAATTTATCATAGAAGTCTGGAGAAAAGGCAGAGACAGGTCTTAAGCAGCCAGACACCAATCTGAGGAATTTGTCCCTATTTTAATCCATATCTCCCAGTAAGAATGCCTGAGAAAAGGCAACTTTTACAGTGGACTCTCCACACATAAAAAGCTAATGGAATGTATTAGCTGGAAGGATGTTTGCTAGTAGACGAACTTGTTGCTCAGATGGCTTATTTGATGGGAAAAGAGCCTATTTCCTCCCTTGTTTGTATATCTTTCTTTGCAATGTTCCATATAAAGAACGCAGTTAACAAAAATGGTTTTTTGGGCAGCAGACAAGCATATGGGGGAAAGAGCAGGTTGGATTCAGTGAAGTCTTCTGTGAATGGAAGCTTTTGGGGCAATGAAATGTTTCGGCAGCCTGCACAGGAGAACAGGGATCTTTTGGAGATTCCTTGGCCTTTTGCAATCCCCAGAAAAGTGTTTTAGAGGGTTGAGAATATTGTGGGGGGAGCGATAATCACCCCTCTGTTTCCACTAGCAAGAGCGTTATGAGCAGAATTCTGCATTTCTGCTGGCAGCGTATCAACTTGAATCGAGTCCAGTGTATTTGCACAGACCGGTGATATAAAACTTAGTGCTGTTTGTCTTGCATATGAAAGGCAAGGATACCCTGTTGTTGTTTTGTTTTTAAAGATGAAACCACATTTTTGTGGTTTGTGGATCCTTTGCATCTACCTCTGTCTTGTAAAAGCCATGCCACCACTGGTAGTCATGCTCAAGTTATGCCTAAACGTTGCTTCACCCAGGATGGAAACATATTATTGCTTTCCAGATGTTTTTGCTTACAATTCTCCTCTGCTTCATCCAGCACAGCTAATGCCATGGAACTGGGGATACTCAGTGTGGTGTGGACAGAGTGACCGACTATGACTCAGGAAGCCTGGATTCTAATCCATGCCCATAAAAATTTACTGAAAGTGTTGTCGTCGTTTAGTCGTTTAGTCGTGTCCGACTCTTCGTGATCCCATGGACCAGAGCATGCCAGGCCCTCCTGTCTTCCACTGCCTCCCAAAGTTCTGTCAATTTCATATTGGTTACTTCGCAGATACTGTCCAGCCATCTCATCCTCGGTCGTCCCCTTCTCCTCTTGCCGTCACACTTTCCTAACATCAAGGTCTTTACCAAGGAGTCTTCTCTTCTCATCAGATGGCCAAAGTACTGGAGCCTCAGCTTCAGGATCTGTCCTTCCAGTGAGCATTCAGGGTTGATTTCCTTTAGAATTGATAGGTTTGTTCTCCTTGCAGTCCAGGGGACTCTCAAGAGCCTCCTCCAGCACCACAGTTCAAAGGCATCAATTCTTCGGCGGTCTGCTTTCTTTATGGTCCAGCTTTCACTTCCATACATCACAACAGGAAAAAACATAGCTTTGACTATTCAGACTTTTGTTGACAGGGTGATGTCTCTGCTTTTTAAGATGCTGTCAAGGTTTGTCATTGCTTTCCTCCCCAGAAGCAAGCGTCTTTTAATTTCGTGGCTGCTGTCTCCATCTCCAGTGATCATGGAGCCCAAGAAAGTAAAATCTGTCACTGCCTCCATATCTTCCCCTTCTATTTACGATAAGGTGATTGGACCAGTGGCCATGATCTCAGGTTTTTTTATGTTGAGTTTCAGGCAATACGAATCCAAGGCAGACCTTTCAACATCACAGTAATCCAGGTCTGTGCACCAACCACCGATGCTGAAGAGGCTGAAACTGACCAATTCTATGAAGATTTACAACACCTTCTAGAACTGACACCAAAGAAAGACGTTCTTCTCATTATAGGGGACTGGAATGCTAAAATAGGGAGTCAAGAGATAAAAGGAAGAACAGAGAAGTTTGGCCTTGGAATTCAAAACAAAGCAGGGCAAAGGCTAATTGAGTTCTGTCAAGAGAACAAGCTGGTCATCACAAACACTCTTTTCAAACAACACAAGAGGCGACTCTACACATGGAAATCACCAGATGGGCAACATCGAAATCAGATTGACTATATTCTCTGCAGCCAAAGATTGAGAAGCTCTATACAGTCAGCAAAAACAAGACCTGGAGCTGATTGTGGCTCTGATCATCAGCTTTTCATAGCAAAACTCAAGCTTAAACTGAAGAAAGTAGGAAACACCACTGGGCTAGTCAGGTATAATCTAAACCAAATCCCTTATGAATACACAGTGGAAGTAAAGAACAGATTTAAGGAACTCGATTTAGTGGACAGAGTGCCTGAAGAATTATGGATGGAGGCTCGTAACATTGTACAGGAGGCGGTAACAAAAACAATCCCAAAGAAAATGCAAGAAAACAAAGTGGGTGTCCAACGAGGTCTTCCAAATAGAAGAGAAGAGAGGGGAACAAAATGTAAGGGAGATAGGGAATGTTACAGAAAATTGAATGCTGACTTCCAAAGAATAGTAAGGGTAGACAAGAGGGCCTTCTTAAACGAACAGTGCAAAGAAATGGAGGAAAATAATAGAAAAGGAAAAACCAGAGATCTGTTCGGGAAATTTGAATATATAAAAGGAACATTTTGTGGAAAGATAGACATGATAAAGGACAAAAAATGTTAGGGACCTTAGAAATAGAAGACATCAAGAAGAGGTGGCAAGAATACACAGAGGAATTATACCAGAAAGATCTGGATATCCCGGACAACCCAGATAGTGTGGTTGCTGACCTTGAGCCAGATATCCTGCAAAGTGAAGTCAAGTGGGCGTCAGAAAGCATGGCTAACAACAAGGCCAGTGGAGGTGATGGCATTCCACTGGAACTATTTGAAACGCGGTTAAGGTGCTACACTCAACATGCAAGCAAGTTTGGAAAACTCAGTAGTGGCCAGATGATTGGAAAAGATACCTGTAACTCTACATCCCAATCCCAAAGAAGGGCAGTGCCAAAGAATGCTCCAACTACTGTAAAATTGCACTCATTTCACAAGCTAACAAGGTTATGCTCAAAATCCTCCAAGGCAGGCTTCAGCAGTATGTGGACTGAGAACTCCCAGAAGTACAAGCTAGATTCCGAACGGGCAGAGGAACTACAGACCAAATTGCTAACATGCAAGGTTATGGAGAAAATCAGAGAATTCCAGAAAAAGATCGACTTCTGCTTCATTGACTATGCAAAAGCCTTTGACTGTGTGGACCACAGCAAACTATGGCAGGTTCTGAAAGAAATGGGAGTGCCTGACCACCTTATCTATCTCGTGAGAAATCTATATGTGGGACTGGAAGCAACAGTTAGAACTGGATATGGAACAACTGACAGTTTCAAAATTGGGAAAGGAGTACGACAAGGCTGTATATTGTCTCCCTGCTTATTTAACTTATATGCAGAATACATCATGCGAAAGGCAGGACTGGATGAATCCCAGGCCAGAATTAAGATTGGCGGAAGAAATGTCAACAACCTCATATACAGATAATACCACTCTGATGGCAGAAAGTGAGGAGGAATTAAAGAACCTTGTAATGAGGATGAAAGAGGAGAGCACCAAAAATGGTCTGAAGCTCAACATAAAAAAACCTGAGATCATGGCCACTGGTCCCATCACCTTATCGTAAATAGAAGGGGAAGATATGGAGGCAGTGACAGATTTTACTTTTTTGGGCTCCATGATCACTGCAGATGGTGACAG